TAAATAAAATTAAAAATATATTTTGCTTATCAACGACGTAACCAACGACTGTTATTATTAGGGCGTATTTAAAAATTGGAATATACTATTTACAAATAAATTAGGCAAGTAGTCCCAATATCTAATAGTGGTACTTCAAAATGGAATCCGTTTCTCTTGTGGGGATATGAATAACAACTCACCACATATTAATTAATCATTTATTCACAACGTAAATTCAAAGTAGCGGATCGGAGCGTGAACGAGCGACCTCACGGCGTTGGACGATCGAATTGACACTATCGAGGCGAGGAAAGCCGAGCTGGTTGCTCTCGCGCAGCCGGGGCCTTCCGACGATTGCCAAACAGTCGAACAGCTGGGGCCGCGCCGCCACACTCTTTATGCATAGACAAGCACGTTTTATTAATTTTTTTTACATTTATTACATTGAGCTTGAGCACTTTTGTTTCCGTGAACGTAGTGTAACGAACCCCCCCCCCCATCTTTTTTCTTTTCTACTATATCCCACTTATACTTGTATTTCTTTAGAATCTATATCTGTAAGATATATAAATACATCTAATTTACGTGACCAGTATAACTTGATCTTTCTAAAGGTTTAAATATAGGCCGTTTAATAAATTTATGGCGTGATCGTCTTAGTTAGGATCCTTTTTTACGTTGTGTTTGTATAGTAACTTGGTTCTTTTAGGTGTATCTTGGAAGAATGAATATTCACGAGAGCAATCGAAAGCTGTTGGTAGAGTCTTATAAGCTAAAGAACCCCGTTCACGAAGACAGAGCTCAAAAAGGTTAAGAACAATAAATTGTCCCTATTCCACTTGTATCTGGTTCACAACAGTCAATTCCTTATTAATTAATCCCTTCCCGCTTGGAAAAGGCTCATAAAATTTATATCAAATACCAGTTACAAGGGCTTCGCTCTCCCACATTTAAAAAAATGTGGAGGAGGTACACGGCCCCACACACGCCGCGCACGGTGAGCGCCAACCATTTTAATGCGCTCCCCCCGAAGGGTACGCAAAGTTGGGAACTGGACCGTAGTCCACAGTATAATAACTGGCGAACCAGTAAAAGAGGACTTGGCCCCTTGACAGTGCGTAAGCACAAACATCGACCGAAGTCGCGCATGTCAATGCGTGTAAACGCCATACAGAATACGATCAAATCCAGCCACAGTGAAATGTACGTCACACGGGTTAGGCAACAATCGGCACACTGACCATAAAAAGCCTTCCGTGAGCGCCACCACCTGCCAGACCGCCGTTCCTGCAGACGTGATGTAAGTGTAAGGCATCACCACCAATTGCATGGTCAGCACGGCCAATTCGCCGCAGAGCGTGTCATGAGTCTACCGCTCACCTCAAGGGAATGGGGTCCCACGTTGCGCGGCTTTCGGCCGCAGCCTTGAGAGCCTCCTCAGATTCTCCCTCCAGCTACCACCCGCATGAGGTCAACACATATGCTCCACCAACCAATACAATGGCAGATATAGCCAATAGGCAGTTATAAGATAATATTAATAATTCGCCATCAGAAAGGGTTTGTGTCTCTGACGTTGAGTATATGCATTTTTCGATCATGTTTGTCTCACCCACCAACAAGTTGCCTTCAATCTCTCAAAGGTGGGGAACTTTATAGAGATATATTATTAAGTTGTTATATAAAACATCATGGAGGGCAGACAGTCTGCAGCCCCGCAATGAAGGGACCCGACTTGGGCAAAGCTACTTAGGTTGTGAGTCAAACCAAGACGCAGAGAGCGCCATTGAGAATAGCGACCCGCCAAACAACCATCGTAGAGACGCAATGCTACAGAATGCAACAAGCATCAATACGACTATCGTCGGGCTTACACCATCCCAAGGTCCCCCATACAGTCCCAGCAGACATCACCACCCGCATACCTCCATCGACCAGAACCACAAGATGCATCGAATCAGGTGCAGCACACCCGCAGATCCATCACAAGACACAATACTGCAAGTAGCAGTAAGCATCAATGCAACTATCATACGGATGGCGCCCCCTCACAACACACCCACATGATCCCTATCGACTTTGGTAACAAAATTTGATAATGTTGTTAACTAAAAATACCACTAACGTATCATAATAGTACGGTACTAAGACGTCAGTAGCCAAAACTCCACGTATCATAGCGCTATTGCACTAAGACATGAAGTTGAGTATGCTTGCTGCACTTAAAAGTACTACCAAACACACTCACCCTAATCCGAAAGATAGCCGACGTATCATAACGCTATGCGCTAAGACGCCGCCCACAACCGGTAGGGGTGTGCGATGTCCACGGGCAAGTCGTATTGCTACAACAAACCCGCTTACCACCGGCACTAAGATGATATGTCTAGGACACATCGGTTAGTGAGTCCAAGTTTACCTCGGTCTCAGAGGCTGCGAAGCAACCTACACGCCACTATAATAATTCTTTTCAAGTCCCATTTCTTTCAATATAATGCTTTTACATATTTGAGACCTTCCTCATATTTGCTTTATTTCATAGACCATACTACTGTATGTCTTATTCATATGGGACTTCAAGTCATAACTCTGCTATCATAATGCTTATGCATCATAGAGACCTTCTATATTAATGCTTTGGTTCGTCAGACCTTACTATGTTAAGTCCCTAATATAGGACTAGTCATTGTGCAACCTTAGTACTAGCAGTCGGTCAGCCGACCACCCCATATATATGTACAACCTTGGGTATGTGTCTCCGACAACGCCCCAATATAAGGGAACATTACAAGAACACGTTCATTAACTTAGAAATTTTCCAATTATTACACGAACACCTTCATCAACTTAGAAAATTTTAATCCATTTTTTCTATTATATTACAAATGTTATTTATCTTTGTTATTGCAATATAATCGCCTTGTATTTATATGATTTGATACATTTTGAACATTTTAAGCAGGTTTTTAATAAATTTAGAGATTTTTAGAGACATTTTATGCGTTTACTAATATATATAATATTCAATATTCCAAATGGATATTTTTGAACTCTATGCTTATTATTTGCATTTTATTGTTTAAATTATAATTTCTATGACATTTTTAAATGTCTGTATAATGAATTTAATTATTATTTATTAATAATAATTATGAGGCGTCACAATCCACCCCCAAATTTTATGTTAATGATCCACATAGTGGAGTCGTTAATATAAAATTTTAGTATTTTGAGAGCATATACACTACACTCAAATAATTGTTTATATATCTGTTCTTTCCTCTTTTAATCTGTTACAATACGTCATATGTTATCAAATCCCCCTGCCCCAGATAATGGCCGCCACCAACACCCCTTCAACCACAATTATCACAATGTGATAACACCATAATTCAAGTTATTGTATATCGTGTTGTTAATAAAGTTTGCAGTCAATTGTCGATTTCTTATTTTATTAATTTATCTTTAAATCTTTGAAACATTATTTCGATAGTGTCACACTTTATGTGCATACAATCCAGTTGGATATTTGTTGAGGTCAGTTCGATACCACATAGGATAAATGTGTTTGAGCCATTCGCCCTGACCCAACTCCCATATTTATTTAATAAAAATGATTACAAAATTATCTTGCGATCTATATTTACAACTCTTCATTATATATTAATAACGTTCTACTATCATATAACAAATCTCTTGCTCATAACTTTAATAATTTTAGACCTTTAACTTAAATAATTATTTCCATGGGCCACCCACAAAACCCTTTTATGTTACAATATTTATTTAATTACTCTAATTTATACAAAAAGAAATTATTATTTAAAATATTTTAATAAGTGAATAGCATTAAAAATTCCTCTAATTTCGTTTGTCTCTGGATTTGTTATGGTATATACATTGTCAAATGGTACGGCTGCTATTACATAAGGCCCTTCATATGCCAAATTGAACTTACTCATAACTTTATTATCAGCGTCTGATCTACAAGATCTTGAAATTTTTACTAAGTCACCAATATTATATTTTATTAATCTATTTCGCTTATCAAATTTTATGTTTCTTATTCGACTTGCCTCTTTTAAATTTTTACGCACTTGTTGTCTAATTTGTTCGACATTATGTTTTTCTTTGCTTTTGGAAATTACTTTGTCAAAAGACATCTCATTAGACTCACCATAAAGAATTTCACAAGGCGTGAAGCCTGTACTATTGTGATAGGAATTATTATACAATTCTTCTAACTTCGGCAATATTAATGCCCAATCTTTGTGGTTAGTATGACAAAGCGTCCTAAATAATCTGCTCAACTCTTTATTTACTCGCTCTGTTGTATTTGGTCTAGGATTTCTAACTGTGGTATATATTGGCTTTATATTTAATTCACTCATTGATTGTTTCCAGTGATTACTTACGAACTGTTTTCCATTATCTGTCATTATTGCCTTGGGCTTTATAATCTCAACAAAATGCTTTACTTTTGTTACAACAGACTTTGCTGTTGACTGTTTTAAAGGATATAATTTGATAAATTTACTGAATGAATCTTGAATGACAAATATGAAAGTGTACCCAAAGGTACCTGATACAAGTGGTCCATATAAGTCTGCCATGACTATATCGCCAATGTTTTCTGTTATTATAGATTTGCAGGGACCCACATATGTTATATTGCTTTTCTTAGATAACTGACATAAATGACAAGCCCTTAATTGGTTTTTAATATCTTTTGTTAAACCTTTCCAAAAGAATCTGTCTCTCACATATTTAATTACCTTATAGGGTCCTTGATGACCCATTTCGACATGCACTTGATTTATAATATCTTGTCTCAATGCTTTAGGTAAATATATTACTTCTTGTAAATTCGTTTTGTAATATAATACATCATTTTTCAAACAATACCTTTTAAATTTATTGTTTTGTTTTATTATGGAAGTATTTAATGTCTTTAACTTTTTAATGATAGCCAACGACTCTGAATCTTGTAATTGATATACTGATAAGGATTTTAATTTTTATATCAACTCAATATTCGGTTCGCTCTCTGTGTAAGCAATTTCTAAACTATTATTTTTATCCTCTTGTATTAAATCGCCATCAGGAGGATAACGTGATAGCACATCTGCAACAATATTACGTCTACCCGATATATGCTGTACTTCATAATTAAATTGTTCTATATACAAAATCCATCGGGTTACTCTACCATTGAATAACTTCATATTATTAATAAACAATAATGCTTTATGATCAGTTAGTATTATTACTTTACTGCCCCGCAAATATGTTTCAAATTTCTTTAGGCAGCTTATTACAGCATAAAACTCTTGTTCAGTAACAGACCAATTTAATTCGGGGCCTTTTAAGGCTTTACTATGATAGCCTAAAATTCTCATTTCATTATTATCATCTATCTGATATAGTACTCCGGCCATACCCACACCGGAACAATCTGTTTGTAAATAATACGGCTTATTAAAGTCTGGATGATGTAATTGTATTGTATTAATAAATTGTTGTTTTATAAAATCAAATGCCTTCTGTTCTTTACCGCTCCATTGGAACTTTCGTCCCTTTTTAAGTAATTCACAGAGCGGTATTATGCTCTCGCTGTAATTTGGTATAAACCTTCTATAAAAATTGCATAGACCTAAAAAGGCCCTTAATTGTTTAATCTTTTTAGGTGCTGGAAACTCTTGGATCGCTCGAATCTTATCGGGATCTGTCTTTATGCCTTCTGTTGAAATTATAAAACCCAGCATTTTAATTTCTTTACAAATAAATTCACATTTCTGCAAGTTACACGTTAAGCCAGCTTTGTTCAATTTACTTAAAACAACATCAATGTGCTCCAAATGTTTATCTAACGTTCCTGTTGTAATAATGGCTAGATCATCTAAATAGTTCACACAAAATTCTTGGACTTCTGGTCCTAATATTAAATTCATGGCTCTGCTAAAGCTTCCTACTGATGTTTTTAATCCTTGCGGCAAAACATTATATACATATGACTTTCCATTGAATGTGAATCCAGTATATTTTCTACCATCTTTATTTATCGGAATTTGAAAATATGCATTATTTAAGTCAATGGTAGTGATATAATTCGCTCCGTGAAATGAATTCAAAACATCTAATTGTATAGGTGGTTTCTCTGTTTCTGCAACCATTTTCTTATTTATGCTTCTGGCATCAAGCAGAACTCTAATTGAGCCGTCTTTTTTAAGAGTGAATGTCAATGGACTACTGTAAGGCGTTGATGTCCTTGTGATGATACCAGCTTGTTCCATTTCATTTAAATTTTCTTCCATTTTCGCTCTATATGCATATGGAATGGGATAGGTCCTAGTAACTATAGGTTCATCATCGATCATTTCAATTTTATGCTCATAGCAATTGGCTCTTCCCAATTTGCTCGAAAACATATTCTTATGCTTTTCCAAAACCTTACTAAGTTTTGCCCTTTCAGAGACCTTCAATGTAGATCCTATTTTTATATTTATTAAGGGATCATCGGTACATTGTTTGATGCAGTTATTATGTAATACAGATTTATTATTATATTTGAAAGGTATAAAGTAGTCTTTGTTTTTCACTTTAAATTCTATTCCAACAGTAGTATTTCTCAAATCAATCAATATTTTATTTCTCTTGAGCCAGTCAAAGCCTAATATTAAAGGTCTTATTAAATTACCTACAATTAAAGTTTGTGTTTCAAAGACTACTTCATCTATCTTTATAGGCAATATGATCATCTGTTGTATTTTTGTGCTGCGCTGCCCAACAGCACCTTTTATTTGCATTGCTTTAACTGGCATTATTGATATTTTACGATTATTTTCTTTAATTTGTAAATATAAACTTTCTGAAATGCATGTAACATCGCTCCCAGTGTCGAGGAGCGCGTCTATTTCTTTGTCAAATATTGAAACTTTAATTTCAGATCTCATATTCCCTATAAATTCCCTTTGATATTTATCTTCGTCTTCCTCGAAGACGGTTTGCACGAATAACTCCGTTATGGGCAAGTCCGACCTGGCTTTTAAGGTGTTTAATATGCTATTTACATTGTTGTTATAACCAAGGCCTTCTCTGTTAAAATTTGCTTTTAAAGTAATAGGTTTTCGCAACCCTCTATTGTTTTTACCCAATGTTTGACCAGGTCGCCAACCCAGTTTTAATAACATATTTAATGCTTTGTTCCCTTTTACATTGTAAGGGGTCGAATCGGGAACTAGTTTGACCTCTACAGCTCTAAATTTGGCTCAGGAGCCGTAACATCAGGTTGGTCATTAGTGAAATGTATTTCATGTACTTCATTAACCTTCTTTTTTCCCTCTTCGGGTTTACGCCATGTTTTGTATGATTGTTGTATTTCTTTATGTTTTTGCTCCGTATTATTATTAAACTTCCTCCTTTTCTCATTATAGTAAGGTTCACGACCTTCATCTTGTTTGTCGATGTCATCTAAGTTTCTTAAGAAATCTGTCGTGTCTATTACTGTCTCAATTTTAGCTATTCTCCATAATTGCTGCACAGTTTTAGGATAATGTCTGATGACATCAGTTACTAATTGTTTTTCAGGTATCGGATATGATAATGTTTGTGCCTTCTCAACAACATAAAGAAAATTACTAACCATGGTGGGGTGTGTACTTCTATTTCATTTATTTTGCACAAGGAATCTCTTTACTTTATTTTGTTCTTCTTCACCCCAAAACACTCTTAGGAAGTCAGCTTTAAAATCATCAAAAGTTGTCCAACGCACATTATTAATGCGAGCCCAATACTTGGCTTCACCTACTAAGCACTCTTGTGCTATCGAAATTTCGAGACCATTAGATGGAACTTTCTTTAAATAATTGGTGAGATCTTCCAAAAATGGTACTGGATGAGTATTTCCATTTCCAAATTTCGGCTTTTCTATTGTTACATTATGTACATTATATACAATATTTTGTCTAGGATCATTTACATGAGAGGTGCTCGCCCCGGACACCTCTCCTTGATTTATTTTAATTTGGTAATCTTTCGTTTGGTTAATAAATTTTTCCTCAAGATCCTTTATTTTAACCTCAAAGGTTTTCACTGCATTCTTAATTAATTTCTGAAGCATTTTCATCTCATCTTTAGACATAGCCTTAATTGAGGTTGATTTTTTCTTATTTTTAGCCATTTTTAATTTTTATTTCCACTTGTTTGTTTTTTTTTTTTTTACACTTTTTGTGTCCTTCACTTACTTTAATTGAGTTTTTCCACTTATTTCACTTTATAATATATAGTATTGCAGTTCTTTTTTTTTTTTTTTTTTTACACCTGTTGTGTCCTTCACTTAGTTTAATTGAGTCTTTCCACTTATTTCACTTTTTATTATTTCGCTCCGTTATGCACACACCTCCTATATTATTACTCCATTTTAATATTTAAGCCCCACCCCCAGACTCTCAACCACCCCCAGCAAACACCACTCTCCAAGACACCTCTCCATTTCACGGACAACAAATTGTAGGCATATAGCCTACCTCATAATTTTATATTACCGGCCTCCTATTTAAAATTTAACCTCCATCCTGGTCACGGCACCAAATTGTAACGAACCCCCCCCCCATCTTTTTTCTTTTCTACTATATCCCACTTATACTTGTATTTCTTTAGAATCTATGTCTGTAAGATATATAAATACATCTAATTTACGTGACCAGTATAACTTGATCTTTCTAAAGGTTTAAATATAGGCCGTTTAATAAATTTATGGCGTGATCGTCTTAGTTAGGACCCTTTTTTACGTTGTGTTTGTATAGTAACTTAGTTCTTTTAGGTGTATCTTGGAAGAATGAATATTCACGAGAGCAATCGAAAGCTGTTGGTAGAGTCTTATAAGCTAAAGAACCCCGTTCACGAAGACAGAGCTCAAAAAGGTTAAGAACAATAAATTGTCCCTATTCCACTTGTATCTGGTTCACAACAGTCAATTCCTTATTAATTAATCCCTTCCCGCTTGGAAAAGGCTCATAAAATTTATATCAAATACCAGTTACAAGGGCTTCGCTCTCCCACATTTAAAAAAATGTGGAGGAGGTACACGGCCCCACACACGCCGCGCACGGTGAGCGCCAACCATTTTAATGCGCTCCCCCCGAAGGGTACGCAAAGTTGGGAACTGGACCGTAGTCCACAGTATAATAACTGGCGAACCAGTAAAAGAGGACTTGGCCCCTTGACAGTGCGTAAGCACAAACATCGACCGAAGTCGCGCATGTCAATGCGTGTAAACGCCATACAGAATACGATCAAATCCAGCCACAGTGCAATGTACGTCACACGGGTTAGGCAACAATCGGCACACTGACCATAAAAAGCCTTCCGTGAGCGCCACCACCTGCAGACCGCCGTTCCTGCAGACGTGATGTAAGTGTAAGGCATCACCACCAATTGCATGGTCAGCACGGCCAATTGGCCGCAGAGCGTGTCATGAGTCTACCGCTCACCTCAAGGGAATGGGGTCCCACGTTGCGCGGCTTTCGGCCGCAGCCTTGAGAGCCTCCTCAGATTCTCCCTCCAGCTACCACCCGCATGAGGTCAACACATATGCTCCACCAACCAATACAATGGCAGATATAGCCAATAGGCAGTTATAAGATAATATTAATAATTCGCCATCAGAAAGGGTTTGTTGTGTCTCTGACGTTGAGTATATGCATTTTTCGATCATGTTTGTCTCACCCACCAACAAGTTGCCTTCAATCTCTCAAAGGTGGGAACTTTATAGAGATATATTATTAAGTTGTTATATAAAACATCATGGAGGGCAGACAGTCTGCAGCCCCGCAATGAAGGGACCCGACTTGGGCAAAGCTACTTAGGTTGTGAGTCAAACCAAGACGCAGAGAGCGCCATTGAGAATAGCGACCCGCCAAACAACCATCGTAGAGACGCAATGCTACAGAATGCAACAAGCATCAATACGACTATCGTCGGGCTTACACCATCCCAAGGTCCCCCATACAGTCCCAGCAGACATCACCACCCGCATACCTCCATCGACCAGAACCACAAGATGCATCGAATCAGGTGCAGCACACCCGCAGATCCATTACAAGACACAATACTGCAAGTAGCAGTAAGCATCAATGCAACTATCATACGGATGGCGCCCCCTCACAACACACCCACATGATCCCTATCAACTTTGGTAACAAAATTTGATAATGTTGTTAACTAAAAATACCACTAACGTATCATAGTAGTACGGTACTAAGACGTCAGTAGCCAAAACTCCACGTATCATAGCGCTATTGCACTAAGACATGAAGTTGAGTATGCTTGCTGCACTTAAAAGTACTACCAAACACACTCACCCTAATCCGAAAGATAGCCGACGTATCATAACGCTATGCGCTAAGACGCCGCCCACAACCGGTAGGGGTGTGCGATGTCCACGGGCAAGTCGTATTGCTACAACAAACCCGCTTACCACCGGCACTAAGATGATATGTCTAGGACACATCGGTTAGTGAGTCCAAGTTTACCTCGGTCTCAGAGGCTGCGAAGCAACCTACACGCCACTATAATAATTCTTTTCAAGTCCCATTTCTTTCAATATAATGCTTTTACATATTTGAGACCTTCCTCATATTTGCTTTATTTCATAGACCATACTACTGTATGTCTTATTCATATGGGACTTCAAGTCATAACTCTGCTATCATAATGCTTATGCATCATAGAGACCTTCTATATTAATGCTTTGGTTCGTCAGACCTTACTATGTTAAGTCCCTAATATAGGACTAGTCATTGTGCAACCTTAGTACTAGCAGTCGGTCAGCCGACCACCCCATATATATGTACAACCTTGGGTATGTGTCTCCGACAACGCCCCAATATAAGGGAACATTACAAGAACACGTTCATTAACTTAGAAATTTTCCAATTATTACACGAACACCTTCATCAACTTAGAAAATTTTAATCCATTTTTTCTATTATATTACAAATGTTATTTATCTTTGTTATTGCAATATAATCGCCTTGTATTTATATGATTTGATACATTTTGAACATTTTAAGCAGGTTTTTAATAAATTTAGAGATTTTTAGAGACATTTTATGCGTTTACTAATATATATAATATTCAATATTCCAAATGGATATTTTTGAACTCTATGCTTATTATTTGCATTTTATTGTTTAAATTATAATTTCTATGACATTTTTAAATGTCTGTATAATGAATTTAATTATTATTTATTAATAATAATTATGAGGCGTCACAGTAGCAATAATTTTACTGTGGCGGTTTTCATAACTTT